TAACAACAAAATTGAACAATGCCATCAAAATTATAAATTTTACTAAAATCCATGCCTTTAGCATCCGTTTATTTTTAAATTTCTGTAAAGGCATGAACACGGAAATACATTTTATTTTTACATGCAGAGGTAAAATAGATGTCAAGAAGAGAAAGTTTTAAGATGATTATTGTTATTAAAAGACGAAATTATTATATTTTTTGCAGAACAAAAAATCTGAACTTATTGCACTTTTTCAAAATGAATAATGGCTATCAAATCTGCGCTCTTTTTTTTTTTTTTTTTTTTTTTTTTTCCGAACTTTTTTGAGAAACTAAATGTTCCAACTTGTTCCTTCAAAGAAATATTAGCGATATATTGTCTTCAAATAATAAAATTTAAGGTACTATTGAAAAGATCAACAATACGAAAAACAGAACAGTAAATGATTTATTCCAATTGTTTTCCTTCAACATTTCTATAACTGGAAGGAAAAAAATAACAATCGTAAAATTTTAACTGTGAAAATTGTTATAGATCACGTAAAAGCCATAGAAACACTGCCTCCAATAAATTTTCAGAAATTAGTAATGACTAGTTCAAGCAACTTATTACTAAATTTTAAAAAAAAGCTCCCACAATTTATAATGCATTTGAATGAAACGACTGATATTTCAAAAACAGTTTAATTGTTAACATGTGAAAGGGAAACTGATAAAGAATTGTTATTTTGTCGTCTTTTAGAGGAACATACAAGAAAAGAAATCAAGTTAGTTATGTGTTCCGCCATACGAAAAGACACTACATGGACTGAGATCTAGCATCCGTATTAGGCGGGAGGTGGATTGAATGAAAAGCCCCACCCCCAGAAAATAATTGTCTCGCTTGCCGCAACGCCTATGGAAGCTCGCTCCATGGACAGTGGATTAATTTTAACCCTCTTGTAACCAAATGCTGAACTGGCTTTCCCGGCTCACCACTTCCAGGAGCATGGAGACCACAAAGGATGAGGCAGCTATTTGATGTTTTGCAAGTACTTTGTATTAAATTTTGATATTAAAATGTAATCTTGGTTTCAAATACCATTTCTGATTTACATTGATGAGATTATATACCTGCCACATGAACTGCAAAAGGAATTTGCTGAGCTATCTAGTGACTCCAACCTGAATCTTGAGTTTTTACAAAAATCCTTGATTGAATAATGGATTGGAGCTAGAACTGACTTTCTCTTAATTTCTTAAAAGGCATTAAATGTTCTTATTTGAAAAGACATTTGTAGCTTTAATGCTTATTAAATCTAAATGCCATTTAGTGCTAAAAAACATTTATGTCTAACAGCATCAAGATTTAATTTATTATGCTGCAAACAAGCCTATGCATTTGATTCAAGTGTAATTTTCTTTTGTTAATTGTTGTATACTTGAAACAAATCCTAAAGTTACTTCTTTTCATATGTATATTGTTTGCGAAAGAAATAAGCTGTTTATGGGAAAATATTTATTTTTTTATCTTTATTGTATATTTAATATCTAGGATCGCGTTTATAAAAAAAGGGTTATGAATGATAAAAGTCTCAGATGCGTTGTATTAAACCATGTGCGATACCAAGTTCATGGCATCTTATTGCATCAAGACCTACGTCTATTACTATTAGGCCTTGTCACTATGTGAACTGACATCAGTAAGGTTACTATACTTCAAGGTCTGCTCTTCTCGACCAAGGTCAACAAGCGTGCTAATACAACTCTGTCTCGAACAATAAGGCCTGAGTACGTGCGGTTGATTGATCAGTGATGACACGATCAGAAAACGGAAAGGGCCTCCCATCAGCCAATACTCTAATGAATCTATAATTTGTACATTTTTACTACGATCTCACGTTCTAAATTCGGATTCTGCCTTCCATTCAGAGCTTAATTTTAAATTAAAATTTCTAAAAACCTTTTTGAAAAATTGATCAGAAGTTATGAAAAACTAAAAATACAGTCAAAAGTCGTTAATTCGGACACCCATAATCCGGACCTCAAAGCTACAAACTTAGGCCTTTACGACTGCGAATATGCAAAATACGTTTACGAATGCGCGTTTAATGTATAATGGACGGTATAAGCTAAGCTAAAATTATCTAATTCAGTTAATGGTGCAGATTGCGTTGTTCCTTAATCTTCGAATTGGATCCGGCTTATTATTTCTTGCAGATTGTTAGAGCAATTTTATAAAAGTAAGCTTGAACTTTCGATTATGTCAAATAGAATTTCTGATATATATTTATTAAATATGTAAAGGATCTACAAAGCGAAAGTATGTTTCAAAGTTCATTAAACAAAAAAAGTGGAATTGCTGCAAAAAATGGATAAAGGCATATCCTTTGTTTATCTAAACTTTAACGTTTGTTTATCTAAACTTTGTTTATCTTTAACGCTGCGGCACGCAATGAATTGGAAGTTGATCTGTCAGGGCTATCCTTATCTTCAGGGCAGATGTTTTTATTTTATTTGGCTTATAATTCCTTACTAAATGTAGTATTTCATTTCGATGTACTCCGTCTTTGATATGATTTAAATCAAATTCCTCGTCATTATAATTCGCTTCCAATAGCGAAGAAAGTGACACAGAGGTTATTGAAAACGAAAAAAACTGCCCTCTGGTTTATTTACTGCTGGTCGCAAGAATTAACATCTATTGATTGGGGAGAAAAACAGCTGGATTTAACAGGAAAGACAATTGTTGATTGGAACAATTATATGAGGGAAGTGTATTTAATCGTAGACAATTCTCTTTCGTGAAACTCAAACGCACTAACGCTTTTTATATGGTGAAAATGACTGGAGATACAATTAGCTTCGAAATTATGCGTTTACTAACACATAAGAGAATTCAGGGGTACAATTTTTGTATTAAGCTGAGAATAACTGGAAGTGTTACATTGAAGCTAGTACTTTCTTATCTCAATTCTTGCATTCCTTTGATTTTGAAAGTGTAAGATTCAAAATATATATTGTGAATGATGTGATTATACCTATTGTTAACATTAAAAGTTACATACGAATAATTTAAAAATATTTGTCGTTAATAAGATAAATTCATTCTTTCTGAAGAGCATTCCTTGCACAGGCAATACATTACTTTGGTACAGATTACTTTTGTATTATCCCGTCGACCGTTTTCGCCAAACTCAGTATTATGGCCAAAAGATAGTTTCTGCGCCAATAACCGCAGATAGCTGTATAATCCTTGATTACGCGAGTTAATTTTCTTTAAAGCGTGTTGAAACATACTGCCTTTTTTTTACTCCGCCGCAAAATGACGCAAATTTGGGATTAGCCTAGACCGAAGAGAGTCAGTGGCATATTTCCAGGACTATGGAATCATTTCTTCTAAGAAAATGTTGCCCTTTAAAGGGCACGATATGGCGGTGTATATCAGAACTGATAAGCAATGGCAATGCAATTTAAAGGGGTGTGGTAAACGAGTAGATAATCGAAAAGGCACGTGGTTGGAGGGCTCAAAACTACCGTTTCTGACTGCCCTTCGATTTATTTACTGTTGGTCGCAAGAATTAACATCAATAGAATGGGGAGAAAAACAGCTGGATTTAACACGAAAGACAATTGTTAATTAGAACAATTATATGAGGGAAGTGTGATCTCATAGCCTTCTACAACGTGATTCGAAACAAATAGGAGGTCCGAGAAAAATTGTAGAGATAGATTAGAGCCGTTTTACAAAGCTCAAAAACCAAGTCGATCGTATTCTTCCAGAACATGATTACGCCGAAATGATTTATAATAGTTAGATTCAAGAATGATTAAATGTGTAATAAAAAAATACAGTTTTTTACTTTGTTTTGATTCTTTTTATTACGTATTACTACACTTACATTTTTGTTATTATTTTATTATTATTATTACTATTTGATAAATTTAATGTGTTTAGATTGTTTATTTTGGAAATTGCTTTTCTTTACGATGGTGCCAAAGGATTTTCGCGTTTTTATGAGCGTTTACAGGTCGACGGGATAATCCCAAAGTACTGTTAACGGTTATTATTCTAAAATTTTACACACAAAGTGATTAGGAATGCAAATTAGGAAAAAATTCGAAAATAGCTAGATTTATTTCATACTAGCCGCTAGGTGGCCAGTGCTTAAAGGGAACACTAAACATTAAATTTAAAAACTGCACAGAATTTTAGTCTGCAGAACAACTTTATCAAAAAAAAAAAAAAATCAATAAAAATGTATTACATATAAAAATAATTACCATGAAATAAGCAATATCCCTTAATATTAATTATCCTAATAAATAAATTAACCAACTTCCCGTTGCTTTCTCTCGATAAACGGGCAGTATCCAAACAACGACAAACGTGCAGTATTAAATTTAAAAGCTGCACAGAATTATCGCCCTCATTTTTCCGAATGGCAACAGTGCTGATATCAGTTACAATGGCTGCGTCCCACTGTTGCTGAGATAATGAAGAAAATTATCGATCTGATGCGATTTCATCAAAAAACATACAATAAAAAAAAATCTCATTTCAATTTTGAAAAAAATCGCTTCGAGGTGCACTGGCTCTTGTCTAGATGCACCTTTTGTACCAAATTTCGTAGCTCTGGGTCTATTAGCTTACGCGCAGCTCGAACGAAAGACACGTACACAGACCGACTCTTCCTTATATATATACAGATTGGGAAAAGGCTTTTTGTGTTCATATTCAATAAGTAAAAATTCGTTTGTTGCGTCTCTAATTAGTCAAATATCTTAATCTCTCTAATTAGACTAAGTAGACAAATATCTTTAAATCAAATGAAACAAAAGCCTTTTTGCTGCAATAGATTTAGTGAACAAAGAGAAAACATTTTTCACAACAATCAGGTAATAATGATCTCGATATTAGCTCTGCAACAAATACCTCCGAAGGTAAAATAACAATGTGCATTGTTAGAAATGCATAAAAATGTATATACTTTTATTTGAGATATTTTCATATCTGACAAAAGCGTTGCATATCTCAAAATGGATATCATGAAATCTTACTCCGAAATATTTAAGCAAGGGATCTTCTTTGATCTGGACAAACTCTTTGATTGCTGCCTTCGAAGTGAAGACGGACTGGAATTTGGTGCACATCGTATCATTCTAGCTAGTCGCTGTGACTATTTTCGTGCTGTCTTTAGCGGAAACTTTGGAATAGAAACCAAAGTGTATCTTTCGGGCATTAGCGGAAGCATTTTGTGCGAAATTCTTCGCTTTCTATATACTGGAAGTATCATCTTAAATGAAGAGAACGTTATTGACATCGTCGTAGCTGCAGATTACTTTTTGATTGACAAATTGCTGAGTGAATGTCGAATCTATGCTTTCAATCATATTAATGCTAACAACTGTCTGTTGTTTTTCGAGGTAGCTTGGTCAGTAGAGAGATTTTCCTTTTTGACTGAATGCCTCAGATATATTCAGACTCATTTCGAATCTGTAGTCAGCAGTCAGTATTCCAATTTCGCAAATCTCCCGCTAAGCTTCGTGAAGAGCTTTCTGAATCTAAGTGGAATTACAGAAGATGTCATATGGGTGGCTGCTATGAAATGGCTGAAGAAAGATCCAGTTGTAAGATTGCAAGTACTACCCGAACTTCTGGCATGCCTTTGTTTGCAGAACTTGGATGAAAACTTAGCAACTGAAATACTCGACAGTTCTTGTTAAAGAATACTTATTAAATACTGAGCCTCAAAATAGCATATGTTGCAAGAATTTTGTGAGAAATATCTTCAAGGAATTTATAAACAATAGTAAAAATAATGATAATTCTGAAAAATTGAAAAGCTTAATATTAAAATCAAAAATTGTATATGGCACTTATCCGCTTCCATCTACGTCTCGCTTACCTAAGTCTTTGTTCCTTTTCTCGGGTTCGGCATCACAATTTTCATTCGACAAGAAATTCTATATAACATTTGATGAGGAACTCGACGTGTGGCAAGAAATTAATGGAAATCCTATACGGCCACAAGCTCTTGTTTCGGTTGGCAGCAGAGTTTATATATTTGATAAATCTGAAAATAAAATTCTAGCTTTAAATCTGGATGACAAATCCTGGACACACGTAAAGCCTATGAATACTCAACGTCACGAATACAGTGTTGTGTCTATAGGATTGAACATCTATGTACTGGGAGGAATCCTCTTCAATTCGCAAGTGCATACATCTTTGGTAGAAAAATATAATTGTGTAACGGGACGCTGGGAAGAAGTCAGATCCATGCTTATGAGCTGTACATTTGCTATTGGAGCTGAAAACGTAATTTATGCTGTTGGAAGTAGCCGAAATCCTGAAGGTTTTCAGATGATTGCGCAGGTTTACAACCCAGAGCAGGATATATGGTCATTGATAAATGCTCCTAATATATACCGAAAACATTTCGCTCTTGTTTCTCTTCGAGGTAAAATATACATCCTAGGTGGAAGTAATAATGGCGAATATTTGAGATCTGTGGAAGAATATGACACTGAAGAGGACACTTGGAAACATTTTGCGGACTTGCCTTTCCCTTATTATTCTCCGAAAGCAACAATCTATAAAGATATGATATTGGTGTATGATGATGTTTTACAAGGAAATTATTCACCTTACCCCCCTTCTTTTTGGGATGAAAAATCACAAAATTGGCAACTATCGGGTTTAGTTTCTCTTTCAATGTACAAATTTTGTGCTATAAAGGATGAAGATACCATTCAAAACTTAGTGAGGAAGAATAATGATTCAGATATAAATTGGAAGAAAAGTCCCTTTGCTAATTCATTCTTTTTTATGAGGTAATCTTGAGACAGCATAACTTTATTCATTTAGAAATAAAAGTTTAAAATAAATTTGAATAAAATGTCGACTTTGCATAACTTATTTCATGTTTTGTTCATCTTTTGGATATTAAAACTTATTGAAAATTTAAATGTGAAGAAACAGTTTTCGTTTTTTATTGAATCTGTAGTCTTTAAACCCTAATTTTGTTTCCCTTTAGCTTTTACCTGACTTCAGAATTTTATTATAATGCATAAAATTTTAGTAAATCACTTCTCGAAAATTTCATATCATGTTTCCCAATTTCTAAGTACTGAGATGAGCTTCGGTCTTCCTTTTTCAAATCATAATTTCCGAGACAAAATGCAATTGCAAAATTTACCCTTTCATATTTACAGGATTAGAAATTTCTCAATGCTCTATTACAAAGTTTATATCCAATCTTAATTTGTAATTTTTATAGCACTACTACTATATTAAACTATAATTGTATTCTTTCTGTCATCCAGGATATATGCTGCTTAGTTAAGTGAAAATAATATGGCTTACACTGGTTTGTTAACGACAAAATAAGCTAACGGCTTCAATTGACTTCTTACATGAAAAGAAAATATGAACTTTTAAAGCCAATAAAAATTTAAATAATTTGTTAAGAATAAAAGTGCGTTAATAATCTCATAGATTTCTGAAACATTTAATTTTAAATTCAACAGAATTTGGAAACGGGCTGTATTTTTCAGCATATTTGCACATATTGAAGGTATAACTAGTGAATTAAACATCTCTTAGAAACCGATTTGCTGCCAAAATTAGTTCACCAAATCAATACCAAATTGTATTATTTTCTGAAAATTTTCATGTTTTCAGAAACATAATCTCACAAACAATATTTGCACTTATACAAGGTGTCCCGTAAATGTTGCGACAAAATACTGAAGGAGGTACGGCACCTCATAAGAATTAAGAATTGCGTAGGAACTCATGCCTGGAAACGTCAGGGTAAGTGGTAGCAGAGGTAGATGGGAAAGGAAACAAGAGAGTGGTTAATTTGAAAGTCCAGTGAGAGGCTTCAAATTCATCATAGAAACTATGCGAGCGTCAATGAAGCCAGCAAGTATTTTCGATGGTGAAAGTCCGGATAACTCTCACAGAGGAATCGAAACGGAAGATTTTAAAATCTTAGCGGAAAAAAATTATCCACCGCTTAATACACGTTGAATAACACATAATAATAAAAACGTTGAACTAATTTTTGGACTTTGTGATCCTATTATAGGGCTTTCATCGAAGATTTTTCTCATACAGCAGAGCTACTATTTAACGGAAAGGAAAAAAAAAAAAAAAAAAAAAAAAAGCCAGGTTCACTTTTTCGATGGTGAAAGTCCGGATAACTCAGCAAGATACCTACCTCACAGAAGAATCGAAACGGAAGATTGTAAAATCGTAGCGAAAAAAATTATTCACCGCTTAATACAATAAAAACGTTGAACTAATTTTTGAGCCTTATGCTCTTATTAGGGCTTTCATCGAAGATTTTTTTCATACAGCAGAGCAACTATTAATTGTAAAGGAAAAAATAGCCAGTTTCACCTGGTCCACAGAATCAAACACGGACTTTGAAAGCCTTAAAGAGGCATTAATTCAAGCTCTCCTCTTGAAATTTCCTGAAGAGGGAACAACTTAGAAGTCTCGGCAGATTCATCGGATTTTGCGATAGATGCCGTGATTATGCAAGCTGATTGCATATTTTAGCAAGACACTTAAAGAAACTACACCACTAGTGACAGGGAAGCATTTGTAGTCCTTCTGGCGGTACAGAAATTTTGAGTGAATTTTGAGAAGGTACCGACTTACGTCTGTACAGACCAAGAGGAGGGTAATTCGTTTATATTACGGGAAGAATTTATCACCGAGATATACGATGGCCCTGAAATTGCAATACATTTTAAAATTTAAACATGCTTCTGGGAAAGAAAATGTTGTAGCAGATGGAAAATCAGCTGAGTTAGAATGACCCGGTACATATGACCACTGATAATAGAAAAGGGCTGTACTTTACTCCAAAAACTATCCTTGTATGGCGGAAAACCTTCAGTACTTATCTTTCTTCCACCATAAACATCTTAAAAAGTCTCTATATTCTTTCCTTAATTCAATCTGTAAATATGCACGCCGGATATCAGAGGTTACGCCAATGCATTTTCTCTAAATCTTAACAAAATTGAAGGGATTTCTTCTATTAAATTTGGTTCTTTTACTTAGTAATCATTAATGGAGGGCGATCTATTAACTTTACATGATGCGTCAAAAACAGGTCTTATCTTAGTTGAGACACTGTCTGGTTTTAAATACTGGGTGATGCGGTAAGTAGTGCCCTTTATAATTCAGTTCATTGTCTGGTACTATTTCAATTACACCCTCCTCCATCCATTCATTAAAAATTCTATCATATTCTTCATATTTATGTAACAGACTTGAGTTTTTGGGTAACATTAAACAATCTTTTTTATGCTACATGACGATTTGAGGGCAATTCTGTGTTATATACTAACCAAGGTAATCCGACACAATAACGACCATCTTCGTTTCTGGAAAGAGAGTTTAAAAATTGTTCGTGGGCACTTTCTTCCTCAGCAGCGTTAGTTGAATTCTGATGAGCATCTAATATTCCGATCGTTTCTCAAGTTCCAAAGATCGGAGATTTTAAAGTCGTGATCTACTAAACTTGCATACAAAATGGAAGCATCTTTATCTTTGTGATTAAAAAATTCCTCCGATGCACCATAAACTGACCAACCAAATTTCGTACAGACTGCTGTTAGTCCTCCATTTAATTGTTTTACTGATCCCGTGAGAAGTTTTCCATAAATATCACTACCGATAAGCATTTCTATTTTTGGACAATCTGCTCACAAATCCGACAACCAAATGTTGTTTCGTTTTAATTCTTTTAATATCGTACCCTTGGGTACCCGTTATATACCTCGGGTATGTATTATGTCTTGATCTAAAAATTCATATTCTAGATCTGAATACTTAACGCGAACTGGCTGAACATAATTTTACCCGATATTTGTTATGCAACTTTGGTTCTGTTCTGGCACCTCCAAATAAAGTAAGAGCAACATTTTCTTTGGAAATAATTGATAACCCCAATTCAGTGGCTAATGATTTCAAAATATACGATTTCGGGGAACCACAATCTAAGAGTACTCTAACATCCTTATGTTTTATGACACCAACTCTTCTTGCGCATAAAGTCATAAAAGCTATCTCAGTGGTACAAGTTTGCCTGGCTGTAGCCGTGTGCATGTTGTCTATTTCTGATTTTTCTGTTGGAGGTTCAGTTTCATTATTAATTTCTGGACACAAAATAACTGTGATTTACCACAAGCAAAACACCTAACGAACTGTTTACAAAATTTTGCCAAATGATTTGGTTCTAAGAAATAATGAACGTGCATCGTAACAATTTTTATTATCATGAATTTTACTACAAAAAATACAAGCATGTTCTTTAGTTGTAAGAAAACCTGTGCCAGTGGGAACATTTGCCTGTTTCTTAAATGTAAATTTACTTTTTATTTCCCTCTTTGCTTTATCATAATATCCTTCTTTACAACTAAAACCATCGAGTCCAATACGCGCCAATTTTAATCTCTCCTTCCCCTTTATTTCAGCCTTTAAAACTTTCATTAAGTTGGTAAGGCGAGAGAGATTAGTTCCTTCAGGCTGGTTAAAGAGCGAACTCCTTTGCCACCCTTTTAAAACATCCTCCGTGAAACACGATTACACCATCGGAAATAACCACGATGTGTTTCGCTCGATTTAAGACCTAAAGATTCTAAGGCTCTCAACTGGAGCTTCAGTTTTATCATACAGTTTATCAAAAAGTAATTTATCCTTATAATCTGTCTTCACATTAGAAACAATTAATTTAATTAGTTTTCTAACATACACTTCGACTAATAATTCAGGTTTCCCAAAACGTTCCTTCAAAGCTAAAACAGCTTTATCATAATTTTCCGAAGTCACCGCATAGCTTTCAATAAATTCTTTAGCACATGATCCGAGCTTCATGCACTGAATCAAATAGGAAAATTTGTCATTTTCATATAAATCAGGGTCAGTGTGAATTTTCTCAAATTGCGACCAAAACGGTAAGCCAATTTATCAATTCCCCATCAAACTTCTTAAGTTCGATTTTCGGAAGTCTATACTGTTTAATCTTACTACAACAAATACCAGCACCATCATTTGGTCTTCGTTTCTAAATTGATTTCATCTGAAAATTGCATGTTTTCATTAATTTGCCGAGTTAGTGTTATGAAATCATCAGAATTCACCTCACGACTTTCGATTTCTTTAGCAACATAATCCTCTAAAGTTTTCCCGTCATCAGCAAATCAAAAAATCTTTTACTAACTCTGTTTTTAAAATATTAGCAGTTTTTGCAAAAGAAGTGCGTAAACCTGTCCGTTTAAGTTTTAGAGCCTTTAAAGTTTCCATAGTTAACTTTCAAAATAAAACAAAATGCTTTACAAAATAGTTTCGATTTCAAACTTAATTATACTTTAATGATAGCCCTCAAAATATTTTTTTTATTTCTTAAAATCCCATCGCGGGACGCCACTTTATATTATTACTAAAACATAGCCTCATCATTAAAATAAAAATATTTCTTTCACTCATTCAAAGATACAGAGCAATCCAGAAAACAAAAGACACAACTTACTCATTTAAAACATGGGTAATGTGATGATGAATCGAAGCCAGTGCTGATGCATGGAAAATAAAAACTCGAAGAAGTTGATTCATATTATTATATCATATCTACACTACAACATAATATAATTATACTTTAAATATATACATTATAACAATTTCCGGGACATTTTACTGTCCCCTAAAGTTTTTAAACATCTCAATCCGTTCACGTCACGAGGCCAAAAAAAAAACTTTTTTTCCCTATTTCGATGACAGCCAACGTCATCTGTACCTCGTACATCAAATGAAGAGGA